GAAAAAGAAAAATATCTGTTATCAGTTGCAATGCCAGCTGATCCATACTTCTACAAAATCCTTTTATTAAAAGAAATGAATCCATACGTTGACATCTTCAATCTAATGTCCTATAATTTCTCTGGAGAATGGCAACAACCAACAGAACACCAAGCAAACTTGTTCGGCCATGGTTTATCAGTTGATCGAGCAGTAACTAACTATATTGAAGCTGGAGTTAATCTAGCAAAAATAGCACTTGGAATCCCGATGTATGGAAAGTACTCCGGTACTGGGAAAGGAGAATGGGAACCGGGCATATGGGACTATAAATCTCTCCCGAAAAATGGTAGCAAGGAATTTTATGACAAGAAAGTAGTAACTAGTTACAGTTACGACAAGAAAAAATGTGAACTCATAAGTTATGATAATCCCAAAGTGGTTAAAGAAAAATGTAAATACTTGAAAAATAAAAAATTAGGTGGAATTATGTTTTGGGAATTGGATGGTGACTTTCCTACCTCAAATAATTGATCCCTATTAAGGACTGCATTTAATGCATTGAACGGGTGGAAAGCCATCGATAAGACTTTAAATCATTTGTGGTTCCTGGCTAGTAAATATAAAAATGTGAGAGACCATGATTTTAATTGAACTTTGCGTCGATTCCTGTTAATATTTCTGTTATCATGGATAGAGATTTTTTTATAATTTTAACTTGAAAAATTCAATAATAGCTGGCTTGATATATAAAATATTTAATTCTGAGATGTATTTCATTACAAAAATTCTCTTTAATAATTTGTTAGAATATAACATTATCAATATGTAACTATGATAGTATATTTTAAAAGGTGTTTAGAGCCAATAATTTATCAAGAACTGCTTTATTTACGTGATGTTCTGAATTCAAAAATTCAAAAATATTAAAAAAATATTAATTAAAAATATTAATTATCTAAATTAATAATTAAAAAATATATAATAATTACAGTCAGACCTCTTTATAGTCATCTTTTTTGAATTTCCCAATTACTAATTAACTATAATTAAAAAAAATCTCTTTATAATCACACCTCTCTTTAGTCACCTAATTTTGCTTTTTCAAGTATGATAACTATAGAGAGATCTGACTGTATCTATATAATAATATATATTAACTTAAATTAATTTAATATATAATAATTATCTGTATATTTAATATGAGATTGATCTTTAAAAATAGTAATATAAATTAAAAAATAATATAAATAGTATAAAATAAAGATCTAAACTAAAAAGAATATAATCCAATCAAAATTATTATATATTTTTTTACTTAAAAATATAATATTTTTATTATATTTACGTATATAATTTTTTAAAGACTTTGATTTTTATCATGATATTTTTCAGATTCTTAAGAGATTTCTAGATAATGATATAAAGAGAATAATTTAATTATTTAAAAATGTGAAATTATTTAATAATAAGTATACTTATTAAGAATATTCTTTACTTCATATTCTTTTTTATTATCAGAAGAAAAATATATAACTTAATTTAAATTTTTCATATCTTTAATTTAATTTATTATATTTCTAAATTTGATTTATATTCTTATATAAAATCAATCTGATAAAGAAGATATAATTAATAATAAAAATATTATTAATAATATAATAATTAAAAGACTCTTTTAAATATATTTATAAAGTCTTTTCACTTTTTAAATAATATAAAATTATTTATAATCTTATATTTATTGAAATATTAATATAAGCTAATATCTTTTAATAATATAATAATATATTAAACTTGAATTTTTCTTATAATAATATCTTGAATTATAAATATAATTTGAACTTATATAATTTAGATAATATTTTTATTAGAATTTTCAGAATAGATTAATAATTTAATTAAGAAATAAAATAAAAACTTAGAATTAATAAAACTTTCTTCTTTAATTACTTTAATTAATTTAATTATACTTCTTATAAATTCTTTAAATTAGTTATTATTTATTTTATTATAATTTAAAAATTAAATTAAAAATTAAAATATATAAAAAATATAAATATATTATAATAAAAATATAATATAAAATATTATATAATAATAAATTTATTTATTATTATTAAATTATAAGATTATTTAGTTATAATTATAAAAAAAAATAAAATAAAATATAAAATAAATAGTTTTAATTTATAAATCTTATAATTTTATTATTTAAATAGTATTTAATTCTGAAATTAAAAATTTAAAATAAAATAATTTATTTATATAAAAAAAATAAATATGAAATATGAATAAATTAATAATTTTAAATTAATTATCTTATATTATATTTTAAAAAATAAATTATAATAATAATTAAAAATAATATAATACTTTATTAATTATAATTAGCAAAATATATATTTTTTTCTTATATATAAAAGTTTTTAATTTTACTAATAAATATTTTTTATTTTAACTCAAAAAATTATTAAAGTTTTCTAGTTAATATATTATTGTGATATGAACTTTTAGTTAATTTTATTATTGATTACTTCATATTATAATATGATTGGATAAATAATTCTTTATATATTATTGAATATTAGCTTTAGAGAATATTATTTATAGATATTTTTAGAAAATTTTGCAAATATAATGATCGTGACAAAATTATTATAGCAAAGTTAGTAAAACTATTATAGCAAAACTAATAATACTATCATAATAAAATCAATATTATAATACTAGCTAAAGTAACATTAAGATCATAGCAAAATTAATATAAGTATTATAATAAAAGTATCATTTGTATAATCTCTAAAATATATAAAAGTGATGTATCTTAGCTAGTGAATTTAGA